TAGTATCTATTATTTGCTGCATAATAATCTCTACCAAAAAGGAAGCCCGCCATTCTTTGCGGTGGTGTGATGTAACTTTAAAAAGAGCTCACTGTTGATTATAACGTAACGTAAAGAGAATTTTTGGTTCTCTGAGCAGTTTCGATCTCTCATCCTCTATTTTTATTTGCGTTGACATCCTTCCAAAATCCTTTCAAAAAATTTTCCAATGCTCTTCAATTTTGTCATAAATGAACGCAATGGGAATGAATACACCTGCCAGTAATACGCTACACTGTGGTGCACTGATTGTCTAATAAGCCTTTATCCAATTTGCATTGATTCTGGTGCGCTCCTGAAGTGTACACAGCTCATCAAAATATCTGATTTTCGTTGGCAGATCCACTAGATTGTGAGATAAGAACTGGTTGCGCTTGCTTTATAATTTTCATTCCAAGTTCTCGCAGACTCTTGCATCAGTAGAAGTTACGTTCTGTCTCGCATATCCAGAAGCAAATCATTTTTTAAAGTTTAGTCAAGGGCATCTTCGCGAAGAACACAAAGCGCATAAGTCGGTCAATATGCAATAATCAAGACTACACGAAGCCTCGCACATAGAGTCACAATAGTAACAAAGTCACTAATTAATTTCGAATATTTGCAAAGCTAATGTAAGATCTATTTCACTGCTTTCCCTACAAATAATCTTATGTCTACTGGACGGTCACCTGGCTACCTTTGGCATCATGTCCATTGGTCTATGCGGGTCACCATGTACTCCAACTCGTTTTAGATAAGTAAGATTTCTTAGAGTGTAGGAAGAAAAGGAAGGGGAGTTGTCCTACATTTCTCCCATCTCTTAATCCAATCTGCTACATTTAAAGAATTTGTTTATAAATCTTCAAATAACTTTATTTGTTTTAGTGGAATATTAAGCGCAGTTCTTTAGGTGGCAGCTTCGTGTGTTAATGAAGAGCAAAAGATGCAACAGTTGCAGCAGTTATATGAAGCAGAAGTGGATGCTTATAAAGTAACAATACAAAGAATGATTGTTCATCCAGATATCTAATTTTACAGTATAGTCTAAATACTCCTTGTGAACATTAGTTTGATCTCGTTACATCCTTAAATTTTCAATACTTTTTGCACTATTTTCTATATTGGCATTTTTTTTTGTTTTCATCTTTTTTTTTGTAGAAATTACGTGAAGAATAAATGCTTTTGAAGAATGTATGTTGTGTCGGCAGCCTGTAAACAACAGTCATATCCTTCTAATTATGTTAGATTGATTAGGTCGTAGGGCTACTTTTAAGCTTGTAGATGGAAGAATTCTCATTTCCATTTCCTCCCTACAATATACAACTGGATCTCATGCGGGAGATCAAACAGTGCATTGATAATGAACAGGTTGATATTGACCATCATGGAAGTTTGAAGTACGGAGAATTTTTCTTGCTTTAGGTCGGGATTTTTGAATCTCCCACAGGAACAGGGAAGTCGTTAAGCGTGTTGTGCGCAACGATGACATGGCTTGAAGAGTTTGAACGAAAAACAGAGGAGGATCTGCTTAGGGACGCAGGCCTTAAGGAAAATGTTGAAGAAGAAGGTTTATTTGGATTTGTTGGTAGTTACTTATCTAAGTACACGAAGTGTAATTCTGGAAAAGAATTGATTATTGGACAGCGGCCCTCTTCCAGGAGTGGACCTTTGCCTATCCAGGAAGAGCTTGGGAACATTGTTTCAAAATCATTTAGTTAATTTCTTGTCGGGAACGCTTAAACTGCCAATATCATACAAGTATTTGAAATAATTAATTTAATATGACTA